AACTTTTTTCCTGCAGTTACTGACTAATGGTGGAACCCGACTGATGAAACATGTTGCAAACCCGCTAATTCTGATTATTTATATCGTGTCACTGACCGTACATGTTATAGAGGCCCCTAATACTGAGCGCCGATATACCTTCCCGCCATTTCATCCGAACTAAGCCAATCGGGGGCCTAAAATACATTCTAGCCTTCTAAGTACGATTCTCTCACTTGTACATATGCGTTCTTACGCGGAACCGAATTTTAGAGCAAGACAAGCGGGCTGGACTTAGTGCCACCTCATGCCCTGTGGTTATACAGTGTTTTCCGCAGCTCACAACGCGACGTGTCGTGTTTTGCACAGATCTGCCATTTCATTGGACCGAGTGCCTAAGGTAGGTTCGGGAATACCATGACGTTGGTTCGGGAGAGAATAACGAAGAGGGTTTGGTTGGTGGGAAGGGATTGTATTGAAAACGAATGGGCAAGGAAGGACGAAACAAAATAATAGTACAGTTCGGATCTAACCATAGTCAGAATCCTCCCCTTGAAGGGAGTGATGTTTGCTGCAGGGACTGGTAGGAGAAATGTGGATCTGACCAGGTTTTCCGAAAACAGACAGCTCCTCACCAGCCGACCTACCGAGCGTCGAGCCGCTCCACGTTCCACATTGGTCCGCGTGAGTCGTGCCCTCGCGAGTCAACCGCGGTCGATTTCCCCAACAATCAACTGTAATTTTAGATTTGGCTTGAATCCAATAAGGCTAGAAACATCCGAGGAGCACCAAAAAGGGGAGAAATGGGGGAGGAACACGAGGCGCTCTGTGCATGTGCATTTTGTGTAGTTCCTTCAAAACCACACCCAACCGCTTTTTCACCATGAATCTTTCCGCAAAACTGACATTCTTCCATGGTCAAGCACAGTGTCTTCACTGCCTGGCCAGGTCACAAGAGAAGGCAAGTCAGACTCTGAGCTCTCGTGAGTACATTCGCCGCGGAACAGCAAGGGCTTTCACTGCTTGTAACTAGCACGATATGCTGCCAAAGACTCTCGCGCGTCCTGTCAAGTCATTCTATTGTGATCCAATGAGCCAACGACAACGACGGTAGTCTTCAAGTTTAACCTGACGATAATGGCGATAATGGCGCCACCATCTAGCCACCTCAGACGAACCGTTCCGACTCGGAAACGCATCAATCGCAGCAGCGCCTTTCGACCAGCTCCCCAGCGCCGCGAATCTACAGTACCGCTCCTCAGCCTTCCCGTCCTCCTCTTACTCTTCTTCCTCCCCTCATTCTCACAGCACGCTCGCGCAAATCCCGCGCCTCCGCCTCAGCCCCCGTCATTTCCGGCATCGTTTCCGCCGTCGTTTCCGGCGCGTCCTACGATTACTACTCTGCCGACGGCGGCGGCGACACGTCGGCAGCGCCACCATTGCTATCCGTTCAATACGACGGACGCGATGGCGGTCGCACGAATCCAATTCGCCATGGCGGCGGAAGAAGCCGCGGAGAATGCGGCCTTCGCAGCGAAGGTTGCCGCGCGCCGCGCCGCGAGACGCGCCGCAAGCGCCGCCGACACCGCCGCCGGGGGGACCGGCGTGTTTACCCGTCCAGCAGCCACGGCGTCGTCGCCCGCGACTGCGCCCGCGCAGATTCCCCCCGGCGGCGGAGTAGCGCCTGCACCTGCGCCAGGGGCAGCGGTGGGGAGTGGCACGCCTTCCGCCAACGACTCGTTGGCGGGAAACGGTGCGCCGGCGGAAGGGGAAGGGGACAACAAAGACTCTTCGTCCTCTGCAGAGGGGGATTTGGATGCGCATGAGAAGGAGGAGGCGGAGGGGGAGGAGGAGGAGGAGGAGGACGAGTGGGATCCCAAGACGCAGACGTTGACGGAAAAGCCCATTCTGCTGGGACCGGCGGAGTTCGTGCGCGCAGACGGCACGCGCGGAACGCTGCACGGGGGAGGTGCGCCCGGATGGCAGCAGCGGTGGCGGGAACGGCGGAAGGCGGAAAAGGCTGCCGCCGGCGGAAGCGCGGGAGCAGCCGGTGGGGGAGCGGGTGCTAGCAGAAGAGGCGGGATCGGAGCCGGAATAGAAAACGGCACTGCGAATGCGGCGACGTCAGCGTCAGCCGCGGGGAGAACGTTTTTCACCATGGCGGGTGCGGCGGGTGATGCTACTACTACTAGGGTGGTGCCTATGGCAGGCACCCCGGATATTTCGCACACGGCGGGGTATTTCAAGATTAAAGCGCGCCGCGACACTCGGCTGTTCTACTACTATTTCGAGTCGCGGGGCGACCCGAGCACGGATCCGCTGGTGCTGTGGCTGACGGGCGGCCCGGGGTGCAGCAGCGCGTTCGCGTTACTGTACGAGAACGGGCCGTACAATATCAACAGCGATGGGACGACCCTGTCTTGGAACGACAACGGATGGGATATGGTGAGTGGAATGATTCTCCTGCTGCTGCTGCTGCTGCTAGTCGGGATGCTGTAGCGCGTTCGCGTTACTGTATGAGGACGGGCCGGGAGAAAGAACGACGAACGCGACGAAGGACGAAACAACGGGACGACGACTCTGTCTTGGAACGACAACGGATGGGACACGGCGAGTGAGTGGTTCGTTTGCTGCTGCTGGTAGCAGGCTAGAAGTGAAGGGTTTGGAGTCTACGGAAATTATTCTATGGATTGTGCATAATGCAGTAGTGGTTTTGAATTTGCGCTGCCCTAATGCTGCCTCAAAACGGGCTGTTGCAGTAATGGTTCTGGATTTTTTTCACGGGGGGGGGCCATCTTCCTGGAGCGGCCAGTGGGCACGGGGTTCAGCTACAGCAGTGACACAAGACAAGAGGGGTGCCTTAGCGCTCGACTACAATGGCGTCAAGGTTCAAAGGACTTTGAACCTCGTCAGGGCGAAAGGAACCACCCGAGTCCGAAAACACCTGGCGAGGTTCAAGGTCCTTTGAATCTTGACGCCAATGTAGACGCTCGCTTGAAGGACGCGAGCTTCAAATGCCCCCTTACTCCACCCTCCCGCACAATCCGCTCCCCTTTCTCCCCCCCCCCCCCTCCCCACACCCCCCCACCCACCCCCACCCCACCTACCAGGTGAGCAACATCATCTTCCTGGACCAGCCGGTGGGCACGGGGTTCAGCTACAGCAGCGACGGGCACAGGAGGAGCACGCAGCGCGGGGCCAGCAAGGACTCGTACCAGTTCCTGCAGGTGCCGTGGGTGGGGTGGTGTGGTGCGGTGCGGTGGTGGGTTACTGAATTCGTACCAGTCCTGCAGGTGCGGTGGGTGGGAGATGGGTGGTGGGGTGGTGGTGGGATGGTGGGTGGGATGGTGGGTGGGATGGTGGTGGGATGGTGGTGGGATGGTGGGATTTCCACCATGGCCGGGTCGCACGCAAGCACAAACCAAACCTCCATGCATACGCCGCTCGCCAAACCCCCTTCCAGCCTACCCCTCCAAAGCCCACTCGTTCCTCCTGACCTCCCCTCCCCCGCCGCCCCCCCGACTCCTCCAACCGCCTCCACTTCTGCAATACACAAACTAATCAATCCCCTCTCCCCTCTCCCCTCTCCCCTATTCCCTGCACCCCACACCCCGATCCCATTTTCCTATTTCCTGCCCATCCCGACCTTCGGAATCGCACGTTCTTCCTCACAGGGGGAGTCGTGCGCTCGTATGCGGTTAAGAACATCCCCACTGTGGCCCTTGACCCCACTCCTCCCCCCTTCCCCCCCCACCCCCCCTGCGCCTTGCGTCTCCCGATTCCCTCCAGGCGTTTCTCGCCGCCCATCCTGACCTTCGGAGTCGCCCGTTCTTCATCACAGGGGAGTCGTACGCCGGCAAGTACATCCCCACCCTGGCCGCCCGCATCATGCGCGCCAATAAGCGCGGCAAGCAGCCGCACATCAACCTGCAGGTCAGTCAGTCAGTCAGTCAGTCTTGCTTCTCTGTCTCTTGCCCGGTATCTCTCGAGTCGAGAGGGGAGTCGTGTGCTGGCTGGCAGCATGTGCATCCCCCCAGCCTCACTGCCCGCATCCTGCGGGCCAATGAGAGGGGGAAGGGGATCAGCTTCGAATCTGCTTGCAGGTTGGTCAGGCTTCTCTCCTCGTCCTCCTCCCCCCCCCCCCCCCCCCCCCTTTCTCTTTCTACATCTCGCTGCAGGTCAGTCATTCTGGCCTCTTCGAGCACTTTCTTTTTCGACCTCCTCTCAAAGCAAGCCGCCTAGTTCCTCCTCCGTCCCGTCCCATATCAGGCTGCGTTCTGAAGGTTGCCCACGCGACTCGGAATGTCTCAAGACACATTTCAATGTTTGCCCACGCGCCTTGAACTTTGCCCATCCAGAATCTGCTGGTCATGTTCCATGTGACGTGGCCCCACAACAAAGTGCGACCAAGGCAAGGCCCTTGCCGGGAATTGGCAGGGGTGCGACACCCTCTGACAATACAGTGCCCACAATCTCCCACCGCCGTCAAATATCGCAAATTTCAATGAAGTCAAAACCAACCAGGGACTGTTGCATGTTTCATTATTTTTTCATTGGGCAGGGCTGTCGGATTCGCAGGAAGCCCGGCTGGGCCGTCAGATGCGTTTGACGTTTGCGACACCTGAACTCATCGCATCTGGTGTGCGCGATAGTGTTTGGCGCTTCCTCGTTTGTCGTTTGGGGCTCGCCGCCACACTGGTCACAGCAGGGTTTGAGGTCGGATGCGCAAACTTGGGTCCTACCAAGGTTGCCCACCAATCAGCCCAAAACCGAGTCGGATGGGCAAAGTTGGCAATGGGCAAACTTCAGAACGCCATCTCACACACCAACAGGACATCATCGCCGTAGGCAAGGGCACGGCCAGTCCACACACACGTGCTCTGCTATGTGCGTGTGTGCCTTCAAAAGGAAGAACCCCTCCTGTCCCCTCTCCCCCCAAAGCTCGAGATGTCTCAAAACAAGAGCACCCCTTTCTGCCCCTCTCTAATATGTTATCCCTCTCCCCCACTCCCATCCGTCTCCACACCCCTAACTAGTGACTCAATCCGCGGCGCATAGCCATTGGCAACGGCCTGGCTGGTCCACTCCACACAACGCAATGATTGAGCAGGGATCATGCTACATCACCTCCCACGGGTTGAAGCATGATCCCCCCCTTATGGCTTCAAGCGTTTGACTCCCGCCGCCAACCTCCCCCTTTCCTCCTCTCCATTTCCAACGAAGCCACCACCATTCCTCCTCCTCCTCGCACGCACCGCCATCCAAAAGAGGTGACTTTTTAGTAAGCCACCACCACCACCACCACCACCACCACGAAGTCTTCCTCTCACACACTCAAAAGTCACCTCGAAGCCAAGCCACCACCATTCCTCCTCCTCGCACACGCCACCATCCGAACTAAACCGCCAACCTCCCCCTGTTCTCCTCTCCACCCGTGCACGCACCTTGGACTAACCCACCAGGGCATCGCCATTGGCAATGGCTTGACGATTCACAAGTCCGCCCACCCAGGCCATGAGCTATGCGCTTTTGGAGTGCACGAACGGGCCCATGCGCCACTGGACGTTCTTTTCCCTCCTACCCCTTCCTCCCTCTCCCCATTCCTCCATCTCCCCATTCCTCCAGTTCTCCTGTTCACTCACCCACAGGACGTAGGCATAGCCATATGCAACGGCCTGGCCAGTACACACACCCCCCATGCTTCAATGCACCCCCCTTCCCCTTTCCTCCTCTCCAACCGTTCACTGTCGTCTGCAACCGAAACCACCAGGGGATGGCCATTGGCAACGGGTTGACGAGTCCACGCACCCAGGTCATGAGCTATGCGCAGTTCGGCTTCAACAACGGGCTCATGCGCTACTGGAAGTTCCGCGAGCTCAAAGCACGGGGGCGGGTCTGCCAACTCAACGACATGATGTGTGGTGGGTGCTTGGATACGGAATGGTGTGGTGTGGTGGGTTGGGGTAGGTACAGAGGCAGAGGGTTATCTTGTGGTGTCACGAGGCTTGTTCGATAATGAGCTCATTCATGCGCTACTGGAAGTGTAAAGCGCGGGGGCGGGCGGGTCTGCCGACTCAACGACATGTGTGGAGTGGTGTGGTGTGGAGTGGTTTGGAGTGGTGGTTCCTGTGTGTGTGACTGTAGGGCTTGCCAACTAGAGTGATATTATGCCACACAGGAATTTCCCAGAGCTCAGAGCGCAGGGACGATTCCGATTCGGGCGCAGGGGGCGGGGGGGGCAACTCAGCCCCCCGGGTTTCCGTTCCATCACCTCTTGTTTCTTCTCCCAACCGTCTTTCCTATTTTTCGCATCTCCTTCCCTCGCTCGCCCTCTTTCCCTTTCTACTTCCCACTCCCACCCATATACAGCCGCTCAAGGCAATGCCACGTGCATAGCAGCGCTCTTTGCACGCACGTGGTGCCCCAAGCGCTCTCTCCTCCCCTCTCCTGCAATCTCCCCAGCTTTCCCTTCCTCCCCCTTCCTCCCCCCCCTTCACGGTCTTACCCCTGCGCAGGATCCCAAGGCAAGGCGACGTGTCTGGCGACGTTCGCGTTCTTTGTGTGCACGTGGTACTTCAATCAGGCGTTCTCTCCACCTTACCCCGTCGCCTCCTATGCCTTCCTCCCCCTTCCTTCCCCCCTCTCACCCTTGCGCAAAATCCCAAGGCAAGGCGACGTGTCTAGTGGCTTTCACGTTCTTTTTGTGCACGTGGTACTCCAACCAGGCGTTCTCTCTTCCTTACCCGCCTTCCTTCCTCCTCCCTCTCACTCCTGCGCAGGATCCCAAGGCAAGGCGACGTGTCTAGTGGCGTTCTTCGTGTGCACGTGGTACTTCAACCAGGTGCTGCTGCAGACTGGCAACGGCAACCTCAATGTGAGTCTCACCACCACACAAGGCTATGCGCACTCATGGCTATGCACACTCATGGCTATGCACACTCATGGCTATGCACACTCATGGCTATGCACACTCATGGCTATGCACACTCATGGCTATGCACACTCATGGCTATGCACACTCATGGCTATGCACACTCATGGCTATGCACACTCATGGCTATGCACACTCATGGCTATGCACACTCATGGCTATGCGCACTCATGGCTATGCACACTCATGGCTATGCACACTCATGGCTATGCACACTCATGGCTATGCACACTCATGGCTATGCACACTCATGGCTATGCGCACTCATGGCTATGCACACTCATGGCTATGCACACTCATGGCTATGCACACTCATGGCTATGCACACTCATGGCTATGCACACTCATGGCTATGCACACTCATGGCTATGCGCACTCATGGCTATGCACACTCATGGCTATGCGCACTCATGGCTATGCACACTCATGGCTATGCACACTCATGGCTATGCACACTCATGGCTATGCGCACTCATGGCTATGCACACTCATGGCTATGCGCACTCATGGCTATGCACACTCATGGCTATGCGCACTCATGGCTATGCACACTCATGGCTATGCGCACTCATGGCTATGCACACTCATGGCTATGCACACTCATGGCTATGCACACTCATGGCTATGCACACTCATGGCTATGCGCACTCATGGCTATGCACACTCATGGCTATGCGCACTCATGGCTATGCACACTCATGGCTATGCACACTCATGGCTATGCACACTCATGGCTATGCGCACTCAATTTCTATACTGTACACAAGCAATGCTATTCCCACTTGCTAGGGGGTGTCTCACTTGCGTTGATCGCCTGTAGCCATGCCTGTGTGTGCATGCATGACTACCGCTGTACACACACCAACATGTGCCACTTCTCCTCGCTCCTCTCAATCTCCCTTCCCCCTTCGTCTTCATAATCTCCCACCGATCTCCATTCTCCATCCTATGCCATCCCATCCCATCCCATCCCATCCCATCCCATGGCATCCCATGGCATCCCATGGCATCCCATTCCGTCCCATCCCATGCCATCCCATGCCACCCCATCCTACCCCATCTCAGTACTACGACGTGCGCAAGCCCTGTGAGTTTGACAGCGGCTGCTACGACTTCAGTGCCGGCACCGCATACCTCAACTCCGATGCCGTGCGCCAGCAGCTGGGGGTCACCAGACAGTGAGTACTGTGGCTCTGAAGATTTGATCCGTCTCATGCCGCTTGAGATGCTCGTGAAGTATCTTCAACACATGACTCCAGCGTGCACACCGCATACCTCAACTCGGACGCCGTGCGGCAGCAGTTGGGGATCACCACACAGTGAGTAGCGCTGCTGCTGCTGCTGCTGCTGCTGCTGCTGCTGCTGCTGCTGCTGCTGCTGCTGCTGCTGCTGCTGCTGCTGCTGCTGCTGCTGCTGCTACCTTTGAGACGTCTCTAGACCTTACGTACGCCTTCAGCGCCCCGCGTCCACATACCTCAACGCGGATGCCATGCGGCAGCAGCACGGAGTGGTGAGACGTCTCAATACGCCATGCCATGCACCGGCATAGCACAGAGTCCTCCTGACACACATCTCAGTGCTCGAAGCAAGCCCTGTATTTATTGAGTACCATTTGGCAGTGGCTGCTGCTACGACTTCACTGCTGCTGGTACCAAGGTACCGACGTACAACCTTTGTCAACCCTGAAGCCATATGCGCTGGAGGGACTGCAGCAGCAATGTGTCTATACGGTTCTATTGTATTGCATTGCATCTATTGTACGTCGCCATGCTTGTGGACTTGGAGCAAGGCGAGCTGTTGTATATACGGCGCTAAACCTCCCTCACCCGTCACCATCCTCCCCCTCTCAGGTGGGTGGACTGCCGCGACAGCGTGTACTTCGCCATGCTCATGGACTTTGAGAGCGAAAGCCAGTTAGTTCTTTGGCTCATAACGCCCCCCTTCTGCCCCCCCCAACCGTCCCCCTTTCCCCCGTATCTTTCCTCTCAAGTGGCTTGACAGTTGACTGCAGCGACAACGTGTACTTCGCCATGCTCATGGTCTTCGAGTTGGGGGAATAGAGCTCTTACGCACATAGAGCCCCCTTTTTATCCCCCACCCTTGCCCCTCCCCTTCCCGCCTTCCCCTCAGGTGGGTGGACTGCAGCGACAACGTTTACTTCGCCATGCTCATGGACTTTGAGCGCGACGAGACGGAGCATGTGAGGGAGGTGCTCAACAGCGGGCTCAGAGTGCTCATCTACGCGGGGGAGAAGGACCTCATATGCAACTGGATAGGTGCGTGCGTGGGAGTGCGGTGCGGATGCGTGGGGTTCTGTGTGAGTGTGTGTGTGTGGGGGGGGGGGCGCGTGGGTGTACGGTGTACGTGTCAACGGGAACGAGTCGGACCATGTGATGGAGGTGCTGAAGTGGAGGTGATCGGACACATATACACATACATATAGTGGGGGCTACACATATACATGGGGGAGAAGGACTACATCTGCAACTGGATAGGTGAGTGATGGGGGGTTAGGATACGTGTGGGGGGAGGGGGGAAGGGGGGTGGGGATGGACTGTATGGGCCTGTAGCCGTGTCAACCAGGGGCTGCACGTGCTAACATACGTGGGGAAGGACTACATCTGCAACTGGATAGGTGCATGGTGGAGGGTTGGGATATGTGGGTAGGAAGGGGGGAAGGGGTTATGGGGGGACTGGATGGGCCTGTAGCCGTGTCGATCAGGGGCTGTGCGTGCTTGTCCACGCGGGGGTGAAGGACTACATCTTCAACTGGATTGGTGGGTGACTCTATCGGTGTGTGGGATGGGGTTGGTGCATGCTCATGAGCTCCCCCACTTCCCTCTCTCCCCCACTTCTCACCCCTCTTTCCTCTCTCCCCCTCTCTCGAGCAGGCAACAGCTGGTGGGGGCCTCAGATGGAAGCACCAGAGGCAGTACAGGAGGGCCAAGAACAAGCCTTTTGTGCTGGGTTTGGGCTGGAAGCCTTCCCCATATTGACCGCTCTCCCATCTCCCCTCTCCCACTCTCCCATCTCCCCTCTCTCTCTCTCTCTCTCTCCCATCTCCCCTCTCTCTCTCTCCCATCTCCCCTCTCTCTCTCTCCCATCTCCCCTCTCTCTCTCTCCCATCTCCCCTCTCTCTCTCTCCCATCTCCCCTCTCTCCCTCTCTCCCATCTCTCCTCTCCCTCTCTCCCATCTCCCCTCTCTCTCTCTCTCCCATCTCCCCTCTCTCTCTCTCCCATCTCCCCTCTCTCTCTCTCCCATCTCCCCCCTCTCTCTCTCCCATCTCCCCTCTCTCCCTCTCTCCCATCTCTCCTCTCCCTCTCTCCCATCTCCCCTCTCTCTCTCTCCCATCTCCCCTCTCTCTCTCTCCCATCTCCCCTCTCTCTCTCTCTCCCATCTCCCCTCTCTCTCTCTCTCTCTCTCTCTCTCTCTCTCTCTCTCTCTCTCTCTCTCTCCCATCTCCCCTCTCTCTCTCTCTCTCTCTCTCTCTCTCTCTCTCTCTCTCTCTCTCTCTCTCTCTCTCCCATCTCCCCTCTCTCTTTCTCTCCCATCTCCCATCTCTCTCTCTCTCCCATCTCCCCTCTCTCTCTCTCTCTCCCATCTCCCCTCTCTTTCTCTCCCATCTCCCCTCTCTCTCTCTCCCATCTCCCCTCTCTCTCTCTCCCATCTCCACTCTCTCTCTTTCTCCCATCTCTTCTCGCTCTCTCCCTCTCTCGTGCAGGCAACAGCCAGAGGGTGAAGGGCCTCAAGTGGAGCCGCCAAAGGCAGTACAAGAGGGCCAAGAACAAGCCGTTTGTGCTGGGTTTGAGCCGGAAGCCTTCCCCACATCGACCGCTCTCCCATCTGTTTTTTTCTCCTATCTTCTCTCTCTCTCCCCCCCACCTCGACTCTCGAGCAGGCAACAGCTGGTGGGTGAAAGGCCTCAACTGGAAGCGCCAGAGGCAGTACGGAAAGGCCAAGTACCAGCCGTTTGTGGTGGGGGGTAGCACAAAGGGCAAAGCCAAGGTTGCTGAGCCACTCACATTCCTCAGGGTGAGCGGAGCTCTCTTTTCTTGCTGTTGAAAATGAGAGAGCAACAGATGGCGCACTCTACTTGTGGCCCTCTCATGTTCATTTTCATTTTTTAGGCGCCTCAAAAAAGGTTGCAGAGCCACTCACGTTCCTCAGGGTGAGCTGAGCTCTCTTGTCTTGCTGTTGAAAATGAGAGAGCGACGGATCGGGCTCCCTTACTTGTGGCCCTCTCATTTCTTTCCCTGTGCTCCCTACCTGGTTTCTCTTAGTGTCACACGCTCTTTTAGACATCTATTGCACATCATGGCATGGGCATGGTCATCCCCCCATCCCCAATGTGACCATGCCTCTCTTGCCTGTCATTGTATCTGCACAGGGGTACAGTACACTCTCGCTATCCGCCCTCCTGATGCCCACACCATCCATGCATGGCTTCTCATCATGCATGCATGCATGGTCGCTATCCATCCACATAACACATTTCCAATCATCATCCCGTGTTGCACCCTGTTGCTGCTACCGCAGGTGCATTTTTGAGTCGATTAAAAAATCCACAATACTTGTTTCCAATCATTATCATTCCTGGTTGCTCCCTGTTGCTCTTGCTGCTACGGCATCGCAGGTGCACGAAGCAGGCCATATGGTTCCTATGGATCAGCCTGAAGCCGCGCTTGAAATGATTCGTCGATTCATGGCCAAGGAATCTCTTGCAGGGTAATGCTGGAGAATGCAAATGCAATGCCCTTGCTTGAGCTGATGTTGTAATGAGTTTGGTGTTATGAAATGTTGTCTTTGCCCCGCTCAAAATATGAGGAAAAGAAAAGAATTGAGCAGACTGCGGAGGTGAGAGGGCTTTCAATATAGGCACCTTTAGCTGAAGGCCGTCCACATAAGTGGAAGTAGTCCACACGTACCGATATGATTGTAGTTGTACTGGATAAGGGTATAAGCAATCCAGTGTATCCTCAATGTTCTCGGCTCTCGCGAGGTTCCCTGCTGCTTCCGTGCCTCGTTACACGTGCCCACCATGCTCTTATAACGGGCCTCGTCAGCCAGCCCTGCTCTGCACCCCGAGCATTGTTGCCAGCTGGAAGCTTGCCTCACATTACACCTCACTCTCGCTAACCTCTCCACTAACGTTCTTCGCGCCTCCCAAAATACCTGCCTTGTGCGGAAATATCGGCCTGTCCTAGTCTCCGCGATTCGCCGCACCCCTCTGGGTTGTCTAGTCCGTCTTAAACGTCGCGCGGCGTCGCCATGCCTTCTAACTACCGCGGGCGTCTCGGCAGCGGCGCGGGCGGCGGCGGCGGCGGTGGCGGCGGTGGCGCGTCCGCGAGTCAGACGGGAGCGACGCGGCTGGAGGAGATGCTCGACGTGAACCTGCCGCTGCCGCAGGTGACGTCAGCACCGTTCGGCCGCATCGGACCCGCCTTCGGATACGGCGTGGGATGCGGCGCCGGCTTCGGAATAGGCCTTATGGGCGGTACGTTGCGACAAGCAAGCGAGGATGGAGTCGACGATGGGGTTGACAGGAGGGATTTCCGTTTGACGATTGATCGTAATTGGGGAGGGTGCGTGAACGGAGGTGAAAGGAGACGCGAAGTAGCGCATTATTTCTGGTTCCTATGCCTCGTCGTTTATTTCCTTTTAGTTTCTCCAGCATTGCCATGAGATGAGGCGTGGATTGCGGCGATGCTCTTATTCCGCTTCGCCATGCTCTCATCCCCGTTCTCGGGTCACCCTCGAACCCATGAGGCGCGTGAACCCATCAGGCATGAGCCCACCAGGCATGTCCCCATGAGGCATGACCCCATGAGGCATGACCCCATCAGGCATGACCCCATCAGGCATGACCCCATCAGGCATGACCCCATGATGCATGACCCCATCAGGCATGACCCTATCGCCTGCAATCTCTTCCTCATCACCCCCTCTCTTTCACAACCCGACCTCCCCTCCACCTCCTTCTTCCCTACCGAACCACATTTCTGCAGGCCTTGGCTTAGGTTGGGGAGTGCCGGGTCTCAGGCTCGGGATGGGGTTCGGTGCGGGGTGTGGCGTGGGAGTGGGGTTCGGGTACGGTGTCGGGAGAGGGAGGGCGTATGACAGGGAGGGTAACCACACGAATCTGCAGGGGGGCTCCAACTATCTCTATGCTAGGAAATTGACACCTGTTACTGGTCGGCCTCGGAAAGCAGATACTCCCTTGTAAGTGGGAGGGTTTTTTAGCTGGTGTGTTTCTTCCGCTCCCCCCCCCCCCCCCCCCCCCCCCCCTCTCTCTCTATTCCCCCCGATCCTTTCTCCCACTCGCATGCTCTCTCCCCCCTCCCTACTCCCTGCCCCCTTGTCCCCCCCCCTTTCGCTCCTCTTTTTTCTTTGCATGCACGTGCACAGACCTACTCACACTCACGCACCTCCTCATTCAAGCACACACATGCACTTCGCGACCTCACATTGGGCAGATCTCACAGGTTGTGCAGATTACTTGTTTCTCCCGTGCTCTCCACACATTGCTTTTCACCGGGCTCCCACCCGGGCTTCCACCGTCCAACGTCCACCGGAGGGCGCCGTCCACCGTCCACCATCCACCGTCCACTGTCCACCGGAGGACGCCGGACACCGTCCACCGCCGTCCTCTGTCCACCGTCCACCGGCGGACGCCGCCCACCGTCCACCATCCATCGGTGTACGCCGTCCAACGTCCACCGGTGGACGCCGCCCACCATCCACCGTCCAACGTCCACCGTCCAACGTCCACCGTCCAATGTCCACCGCCCACCGGTGGACGCCGTCCACCGTCCAACGTCCACCGCTCACCGGTGGACGCCGTCCACCGTCCAACGTCCACCGCCCACCGGTGGACGCCGTCCGCCGTCCACCGTCCACCGTCCAACGTCCACCGCCCACCGGTGGACGCCGTCCGCCGTCCGCCGTCCACCGTCCAACGTCCAGTGTCCACCGGTGGACGCCGTCCACTGTTCACTGTCCACCGTCCACCGGTGGACGCTGTCCACCGTCCACCGTCCGCCGTCCTCCGTCCACCGTCCACCGCCGTCCTCCATCCACCGTCCACCGCTGTCCTCCGTCCACCGTCCACCTGGGGACACCGCCCCCCGTCCACCGTCCACCAGCGTCCACCGTCCGCTTTCCACCGGCGTCCACCGGTGGACGCCGTACACCGTCCACCGGTGGACCGCCTCCCTCCTGCCCCCATTCGATTCCAATCATGCTTCCTTTACATACCACGTTGGCTCTTTTCACATAAACCCCATACCCCCCTCTATATCGACCCTTTTGTTGTGCAGCGCATCTTTGGCCGTAGGCCGCATGGTACACGATCTAGTTCACGACATCAGAACCTTCCTTGGATCGTTGACGGGATCAAGGCCTCACTAACCCTGCAACCAGAAGGTTTATTTCCACAAGCTCTTGGACAATCACTGCTCTGCATACAGCAGTTGTTGTTCCAAGTTAGTTCACCTACTGCAAGTTAGTGATGTGCCATAAACCTGCTAGCATTTTGCATTTCCGAAGTGCACAAGAAATGCTGTTAGAAGTTAGCAGGCTGATTGCTTTCTTATTTGGAAGCAAGACGTAATCAGGAGAGTGCATGTATTCATCTGAATTCAGGAAAATCTCGTCTACATGGATGGGTGGTGGAAACAGGGTTTTACCCTGCAAGTACGGAACTGTAGTTCCCAAGACGATCGAAACATACATGAAAGCTGGGTACAGTACATAGACAGCTGATCTGCTCGAGCCATTTCATTAGCGGGTCCGCCGGCGCGGCCAAAGGGATTGAGATGAGAGCTTGGTACAAAATCAGGTGGAACACAGAAGCGCAGATGACGCTGCTACAAAATCTGACCCACTAGTCGCGCTGCACCGGTCGATTTCTCTCATCCGACGGTAGATGATAGCGTAACGACGCGCACCAAAACCGCGATGACGGGCTGCTGGTTGCAAGTTCCCCCCGAGCGCCCCGGAGCTCCAACCGAACCCGCGGGCCTAACCCAAACCTGATGTGTGCTGTTCTCACGTTATGGTGAAACCCTAACCGTTTTTGTGCCACAAAAAAAAAAGGTACTGGTGCTTTCGTAATTAGGAGCCCATTCCCATTATCTTCTCACTGGTCGGGCAAGGTTACTGCCAGTTTAAGATACACTTCCGGTAAATAAGGGGTCGTGTATTTGGAGAAACCTGCTGACCAAAACCTCACTCTTCATCGCGCCGCATTTGCCAGAGTAGCCAGCCAGCCCATCTGTCAGTGATCAGGCTTAAGGAGTATTCAATGTTGTACGATTCTGCGAGATTGCAATTTTGTTGGTCGGCCACACAAATTAGGTGTAGCCAGTTCATGGAGCCACACCAGGAAGGACATCCTTGTTGTAAGCATGACGTATAAATATTGGGAATTCGAACGACTCGAAAGGAAGATGCTGCTTCTTGTCTACTTTCGAAATAGGCCTTCATCCATATCAAGAAACGCGCCTTGAGCCGCTGGCGCCAAAACATTTCACACAGGCGCACATCACCCCTTCCTCCCCTCCCCCCTTGCTGCGCTCCTTTGAGGGATTCCGCCATGGTTTCTTGCATTTACCCTGGCAATCTGCCCCAACGCTTCCCCCTTGCCAATACAGTAGTTGTCGAGGACGGCAAATCCCCTGTCCTCTTCATACCTCTCATCAGTCTCCATAATGTACATCATTGCTCAATTTCCCATTCCCGACCGTTCTCTGATCAAAGGGAACAGGCGTGCTGATCTCTTCAATCTGTTGTAGCATCTTCTTCTTTATGAGAACTGTCCTCCCCTCCGTTATTACTGCTAACACCTCTATTAGTGCTGCTTACAGTCATCTCTCTCACCTGACTTGCTGCGGCTTTACCAACAGCTTACCGCACTTCTTGCCCACTGCCGCTGGCCCCTAGCAGCGGCCTTCTACCACTCCCTGACGATAGAACCCATTGAAACATGCTGTTAGCGCATACTAGTACTAACGCCTCGCGCTTTTAGACGGGCAGCGAAGACAGGAATACCACTAGTCAGGCCATAACAGGCCGTCGCGACCACCCGCAATCGTCGCGGCAATAGATTCCACGAATTGGCGACGCGTCTTAAAAATAGTCGATGGACCGACGGAGAAGTGGCGACCGGGCTTCCCCCTGGGTAGCGAAGCGCTTCAGCATCTAGCAAGGGGCGTCAGAACGTCACCTTTCTTGTAACGTCACTCACATGAAATCTAGAACCATAGCTTAACGCGACTTCAGTCCTGGATTGAGCGTACTTAAGAGCACCAACAGAGATTCTACATCCTCCGAGAGTCTACCAACTCCACTATCGAGCATCCCGCTTACGCACGCGCACCTATTTCGTTCGTGCACTAATTACGGCCTGCCATTCCGAAGCGCGCGCCCCCACCCAAGCGGCAAAGCTCTTTCCAGAAAAGGTCGCTCGATTTTTTACGCCTCTCAGCCGCTTCACAGCAGTTATTGACCGGCGCCGGCGTTGCAACAGCACCATACACCCTTCCGGGAGTTTCGGAAGTGACTTTTGAGTCGACTCAAAAGTCACTGCACGTGTTGATCGGCGCCGGCGTTGCAACAGCACAATACATCCTTCTGGGAGTTTCGGAATCCGCTCTTCCGCTCTTCTGTCCTTCCGACCTCCGTCCTTCCGTCGCATCACCATACGACCCTCCGACCATTCTACCATCATGGTGCCGTTCCGTCGAAAGCGGCTCGAGCTCCATCCTCAACTCCGTCGTTTTTTTCTCTCCGCAGCGGGGCTGATTATCCTCTGCTTAGTAGCCGCCGCAGCAGCCGCAGCGGCAGGAACAGCCGGCGGCGGCGGCGCTAGCGGCGCGGGCAGGAGACTGCTGTCCGCGGAAGAGCGAGCGCGGCTGGCGCATGCGCGGAGTCGCGCGGAGCAGCTCGCACGGCTGGGGATGGTAGGCGTGCGCGGAAGAGAGGCGCAAGCGGAAGCGGCGCAGCGGAGAGCGGCGGCGCGCAAAGGATACGATCGGCTGGTGGTGAGTCCCGTTAGGAGATTACGAGCCGCTTAGAGCAACAAGGGTTGCAACGAGGATGTCGCGAGGATTTTCTTCTCGGTGATCCAGCGAGCCTCACGCCGCACGTGGCGCTGCCTTTTCGAAAATAAAATTGTAAAAAGAAGAGAGAAGGGGAAAGACACCGGAAAGGACGGATGAACGGATCGTTCGCGTCTTCTTCCCTTGCCGACGCGCCAATTCCCATTCGTTATGCCCATTCCCTCGACTCAAAAGTCACCTCATTCCCTCGCTCGCCGCGCGAACGAATTTCTCCGCTCTCGCTCGCGCGCCCATCGCGCCTTCCCCTCCCGTCCCGTCCGACTTCCATCACGCGCCTTTCCCTAACAGGCGTTTGCGTCTCGTCATATCATGCCGTCCGTCCGTTTGCGACGATCTACGCCTAAACCGCCGGATAACTCGCACATGCCCACACATGCTTCTCATTCGTTCCTCACACATGCCTCACATGCCACTCTCCCTTCGCCCCCTCTTCGCCCCCCCTCGGCTCCACCTCCCTCCCTCGCCGACGCTCTCTCCCCTCTCTCCTCCCCTTAGCGGAAGGCGCGGAGAGCATCGGCGCGAGCGGGGGACGATTGGTGCCGCGGGCTGTCGGACGGCCTCCATGGGGACGCGCGCGCGCACCCGCCGCTCAGGTATGCTCTCGCGCAAGCACAGGTAAAGTGGCCCCATTGGTATGCTGTCGCGCACCCGCCGCTCAGGTGAGGGCGTTTCGTGCACGTCATTACAGGTGAGCACCTTTCAGGTAAATGCACCGCTCAGGTACGTGCTCGCGCATCCTCCGCACAGGTAACTCAGCCCCACAGGTAGGCCGGGAGCGCACGCCCCGCACAGGTAAAGACGCCCCGCAGGTATGCGCTCCCGCACCCGGCGCGCCACAGGTACAGCCGCCTCTGTTACTTTTCTGCACGTCAACCACCCTCAACTCGTTCCCATTTCCAAAGATCTTTTCAAAATACAGTGAATTTTACCATTCAAGAGCCTCTGCCCGAATGCACTTTGTGTCTCTACTACCCCTCTCACCCTCGCGCCTCTCTCCCGACCTACCCCTCTGTCCCCCCCTCCCAGCCTCTGCCCCCGTCGCTACAACCCCCCTTGGTTTCATCTTTCACGGGCCATAATCTCTCCTTTCTTGGTCCTTTTTTTGAGGCGCCTCAAAAATAGACTCCTCACCCTTGGTTTCATCTTTCACGGGCCACAATCTCTCCTTTCTTGGTCCTTTTTTTTAGGTGCCTAAGAAATAGACTCCTCATCACCCTTGGTTTCATCTTTCACGGGCCATAATCTCTCTTTTCTTGGTCCTTTTTTTGAGGTGCCTAAGAAATAGACTCCTCGCCCTTGGTTTCATCCCCCATCCCCCATCCCCCACCATTTCTCCGCCATACCACCAGGGCCTACTTCCGCTGCTCGAGCTTCTCACTCGCAGGACTCTTCTTCTGCCCGGGGGCTGCCCGTTTCGACGAGGAGGAAGGGCGGTGCGTAGAGGGGAGGAGGGCTGCAGAGAGCGCCGCTGCTGGGGAAGAGATGGCAGCTCTTTGGATAGGCAGCAGTAGCAGTGGCAGCAGCAGCAACAGCAGTGGGAGGAACCGGGGTTACAGTGAGGAGGATGACGTGTATGGGCCTTCTAGGGCCGCTGGGAGGGCGCACAAGGGGCTCACAGGGCGCAAAGACGGGAAAGCAGGCTTCAGAAGGGCGTCGCTTGAGGACGCAGCACGGACGGATGGCCGGAGCTTGAGTGGGAGTGAAAAGAGTGTGCCCAGCAGTAGTTCTTCTGGTGCAGGAATCGTCCTGGATACAGCTGCCGCTCCTGCTGCTGCTGCTCCTGCTGCCGCTCCTTCTTCTCCTGCTCCTGTCGCCCCTTTGGTCGACCCGCAAGCAACAGCTGAGTTGAACGCCCTTTTGGCGTTCAAAGCGTCGATCATTGACGTCAACAACGTGCTCCGCTCGTGGGTGGTGCCTCGCCATGCCACCAACTCCACCGACCCGTACTCCTTCGTCTGCCTCTGGCGCTTCGTAGCCTGCTCCAACCCACCTAAAGCCACAGCAGCAGGAGCAGGAGCAGCAGCGGCCCCACGGCGTGTGATGGCAGTGCAGATAGAGGAGAACGATGAGGGGACTATCGGCATCATTATGGCGTCCACACGCAACATCACATCAGCCATTGCTATGAGCGTGGAAGACAGCACGAGTGGCTTTCTCAGTGATGGCAGCAGCAGCAGCAGCAGCAGCAGCAGCAGCAGCGGCGGTGGGGGCAGCAGCAGTACGGCCATTCCTCCTCTTCTACCTCAGGAGTTTTCATCCCTAACGGCTCTCCAAAATCTCACCATTAAAAACTCTCAAGACTACCCTGTTATTGCCGGCCTGATTGGAGCCTTCCCAACCCAGCTCTCCGCCTGTTCCTCTCTGCGCAAGCTAGACCTGGCGTTTCACCGCATCATTGGAGGGATACCAGACAGCATATCGCAGTTTAAGAGCCTCAGGGAGCTGCGTCTTGATTTCAATCTGATCACAGGAAGTCTCCCTACAGGCCTCTTTTACCTGCCCAGCCTGGAGAGTCTAGAGCTCCCCAACAATGCGATTTCGGGGTCTATTCCGCCGCAAGTCTCCCTCCTAAGCAAGACACTTATGCACCTGGACCTGAATCATAACCATCTCTCGGGCAGCCTGCCCGAGGAGATCGGGCAGCTGAAAAAACTCGGCATTAAACCCTTCAATGCGGGCTTATCTCTCCAGAACAACAACCTCTCCGGCTTGCTCCCAGCATCCATCTCCAACCTCCACTCCCTGCAATGGCTCGACCTCAGCTACAACCAGTTCTCCGGGTCTCTCCCCCAGGGAGGCGCATTCCTCTCAACCCTCTCCCAGCTTGCGATTCTCCAAATCTCCTCCAACCACTTCACCGGGTCGCTGCCGCTCTCCTTCGCCTGCACCACCAGCGTTTTCGCTCTCTCCCTGGCTGTCAACCAGTTCTGGGGAACGCTGCCTGGGAGTCTGGACGCCTGTGCTCCGATGCTTACGGATCTCGATGTGTCGAGCAACAACCTCACGGGACCCCTGCCGCCTACCCTCTGGAAATCGCTGGAAGGTGCTTACATGCTGGGACGCTTGGTGTTTAGCAACAACAGCTTTTCCGGCAGCCTGTCGCCTGCGTTTGCAGGGATTGCAACGCTCGCGCTGTTCGATGCTGGCAACAACAATCTGTCCGGTCTGCTGCCTGACTTGAAATCTTGTCCGATTGCCACCGCGCTGAACAGCATATACCTGGGGAACAATTCGTTTTCGGGCAGCATCCCCCCGGGTTTCGTCTGCAAGCAACTGCAGTACTTGGATCTGAGGAACAACTCTCTTTCCGGTGACCTGCCCGACGTCCTCGTGGGACTAAACAGCGGGCAGCTGAAAAACAGCACAACTGCACCAGCAGCAGCGGCAGCAGCAGCACCAGCTATTCTCAAGGCATCTCCTCATCTTGCTCAGCTGAATCTAAGCCACAACAGTTTCAGGGGGCCCATCCCTCTGGGCGGCAACTGCAAGAACCTCATTCACCTCCGCCTAGACCACAACAACTTCTCTGGTCCTGCTGCTCCTGGTGCCTTAGCCACGTGCCGCAACCTTAACTACTACGATGCTTCCAGCAACCAGCTCACAGGAACGGCAGCGGAGGTGGTCGATAAACTGACCCGCGTCGTGGGTGTGGTGTCGGTGCGGCTTGGTGGTAACCGCATCCAGGGGGAGATCCCTCCGGCCGTTTCAACTTTGAGCTCACTGAGAGAGCTCAACCTGTCCGGCAATGTGCTCTTGGGATCAATTCCTGACGCACTCTCTTTGCTGAACCGCCTGCAAGTGCTGGATCTGAGTGGCAACAGCCTCTCCTCCTCCCTCCCCTCCTCCCTCGGCTCCTTCCGCTTCCTCTCCCTCCTCGACGTCAGCCGCAACGGCCTCTCCAGTTCCATCCCCCCCCAGCTCGCCCCGCCCTTCCTGCCCTTCCTCGCCCTCCTCAACCTCTCCCACAACGCCTTCTCCGGAGCCATTCCCTTTGGTTTCTCCAACGCCAACACCACCGCCACGGCGCTTGACTTCTCTTTCAACCGCCTTTCCGGGGAGATCTACCCCGGCAACCTCTCCCTCCTCCCCGCCTCCGCCTTCGCCGGAAACCCGGACTTGTGCGGCGGGGCGGGCTACCCCGCGTGCCCGACCCCCCCCGGGCAATCCCTGTCAACAGGGGCGGTTGTGGGGATTGTGGTGGGGTGCATGGCGGTGCTGGTGACGCTGGTTGTAGGCTTGTGGTACTGGCTGTTTTTCCAGCGCGCGTCGGGGCTGGAGGGCGGCACGATGCTGGTATTTGAGCGCCTGGACTTCAAGCTCAGCATCCGCTCCATCGTTGACGCCACCGACAACTTCAGCAACAAGTTCCTCCTCGGCCGGGGGGGCTTCGGCTCCGTCTACAAGTGAGTCTAGGGGAGAGAAGGGGTTTCGAGTAAATAAGCGGGGTTTCGGCTCCTTCTACACGTGAGTCAAGGGGGCGTTACTTGGGGAAATGGGAAGGGGAAAAGGGGGGATTCGGCTCCGTCTACAAGTGAATCAAGGGGAGGTTTGGATGAGGATCGGGGAAGACGGAAATAGGGGGGGGGAGATAAAGAGACTGGGGAAATGAGGAGCCTTGGCTCTGTTCACTAGTGAATGGGGGGGTTGGATGGGACGGGAATGGGTTGTTGTTTGGCTCCCGGTAAAATTGAGTGGGAGAGGGAGGTTGGGGAAGAGGCCAGATGTGTGGGACAGGTGAGGAGAGATATGCTGAGAAGTCTGTGTTAGAGTCGACTCAAATGCTGAGAAGTCGCTTGACATGAAGAGCGGCTTGACATGAAGAGCAGCTTGACATGAAGAGCGGCAGCAGCTAAGAGGGATGTCTTTAGCAGAAGTCAACGGAGGTTATTGGCTAGTACCCTTGAGAATCGGTTTAACTCGAGAAATACACTTAGTCTCATATTTCCAATGCCTCAAGTTTGTAAACCCCCTCCCTCCTACACCCCACCTCCCTTTCTTTTTCCCTCAGAGCGACCCTGGCAGACGGGCGGGATGTGGCGATAAAGCGGCTGGCAGTGGGGTCGACGCAGGGGCAGCGGGAGTTTGAGGCGGAGATGCACACGCTGGGGGCGGTGCGCCACCGCAACCTCGTCGTGCTCGTTGCTGCCTACCTCTCGCGCCCGCCCTCGCAGGAGCGCCTCCTCATCTATGACTTCCTTCCGGGGGGCTCCCTCGACCACGTGCTTGCAAAAGACATGCCCACAGGGGATGGGGATGGGAGCGGGGAGGGAGGGGGGAAGGGGGCACCTCCCCACCCCATGCGGCAGTGGGAGGTGCGACGCAACATTCTGGCGGGCACGGCGCGGGGGATGAAGTACCTGCACCACAACTGCATCCCGGGGATCATCCACCGCGACATGAAGCCCGCCAACGTGCTCCTCACTGACTCCTTCGAGGCCAAAGTCGCCGACTTCGGGCTTGCGAGGGAGATAGAAACGGGCAAGACGCACATGAGCACGAGCGTGTTCGGGACGATCGGGTACTTGGCTCCGGAATACTCGCAACGGGGCCGGCTCTCGTTCAAAAGCGACGTCTTCGCGTTCGGGGTGCTCGTTCTGCAGGTGATTACAGGGAAGCTTCCCACAGATGAGGACTTGGCTGAAAGAGGGTTGTCGCGGTGGGTGGGGGCGAACCCGATTGCGAACATTGTGGACCGTCGGATCGACGACCGCGAGAAATTTATGGACGAGATCAAGGCGGTGGTGACGCTGGGTCTGCGGTGCACGTCTCGCGTGGCGGCGGACCGCCCCTCCATGGCTGAGGCGCTGCAGCTGCTGGAGGAGCTGAGCGCCTTCGCCCAGGGGATGGGGGGGGATGGGGAGAAGGGGGGGTGGGGTGGGGAAGAGAAGGATGCTTGAGAAGCTAGTGCCTTCGCCCAGGGGATGGGGGGCGGCGAGGATAAGGGGGGGGCAGGTGCGGAGGGGGATGCAGGTGGGGAATAGAGAGAGCACGAGTAGGAGGGCGCTGAAGTAGTAGGAGCACGAGAAGGGGGGTGGTGGGTGGGGATGAGAAGGATACTTGACGAGCTGAGCACCTTCGCCCATGGCATGGGGAATGGGCAGAGGAGGAGAGAGGGAAACAAGAGGGAGGGAATGGTGGTGCCGAGTAGAAGGAGCGCGAGTAGGACAGGGCTGAAGCCGCTAGAAGAGATGAGCGGCTTCGCCGGCTCTGTGCATGGGGGAAGAGGATGGGGAGAGGAGGTGCGGGGGGAGGGGAATGGAGAAGAGTAGATGGATGAGGGGTAGGAGAAGGGGTGGGAAATATCAATAGGAGACTAGTAGGGAAGGAGAGAGTGTGGGGATACTGTGTGGGAAGGAGGTGTGGGCTTTGGGAGGGTGCTGTTTTGGCAGAATGGCAGAAGGGAGTGGTTGTGGTGGGTGAGAAGGGTTTTGTTCAGCAGGGCTTGCTTGGGTACAAGATGCAGCGGCTAATTGTGACGACTTTCCTTATTGTGGTACAGTGCACCCTTGTCTCATGCTCTAAGCATAATGCAGCTAGACACTGCGGTAAATGAGGCTGCAAGTGTTCAAATTATATTTTATATAATTGTAGGCTTGATAGTTGTGCTACTGCATCCCACTGTAGAGGGGATAACTCCCCTTCTTGTACCTGATTCTCTTCTAGTTCAAACCTCTTCTCTCTCGACATTCCTCTCGTCAATCTTCCCTAGCTAAACCTCGGCCGCCATTCCATGGGGGCCTTCTCCTTTCTTGTTAGCTCAGTTCAAGACAGCAAGGACTATTGAGCTGAGACAAGTCCCAGTTGTACAAGATACTTGAGTAGTGTAGCGGAAGTTGAGTAGTTGAACCCTTGCACTAGTATGTGAGAGCAAGTGATTAATTGAAAGAGACAAGCATACAGCAATATATAGAAAGTAGGAAAGTAAAGCAGTTGTAGAATACAGTTGAAAGAGCGGTTTATCGAGTCGCACAGCGACTCGATTGTCGCTTCGGTTACCATCCTTGCAGTTGTAACGGTCAGTCGCAACCTCCGGTTGCGACCCTTCAAGTCCTTTTGTGTTGTTTGTCCATGCCCTCGTGTAACCTCCGTTGACTTGCATACCCGTTACGATCTTCCTCGAGTGTGGTGTTTGCACTTCAGAAACGCTTAAGTCCTCGGGATATTTCCAACAAGGACCAACAAACTCATATACAGATTAGTCAGGCTTCAAATGCAAACTGGCCAACAGCTTAGCTTTGATCAGTCATTATCACCAGTACGGGGTTTGGCACAGTGCCATGGAACAATGAAATGGGAGTGGTCACAACCAGGGCCCTTTTTATCATACGAAAACGGTCTGATGGTCTGATTTTCAGACGTGTTTTTTTAGGTTCATCTGAAAGTTTAGACCACCCAGAATTTTTCATCTGAATGATAAGATAAGGTTTTTATTTTCGTCTGAATAATCAGACCCTAAGTTGTATTTCGTCTGAGTCTGCAGACAACGAGTTTTTTTCCGTCTGAGACTGACAAGTTTTCCCACTAGCCTAGAAGGCCACTTCCTTTCACGATTCGGCACCAATTTCAAATCTGCGTGATCATTGCACCGCGTGGTACACCAGCCCCGCTGGCGTGCATCATCCCCCCACAGTGCATTTTTTGAGTCAGAAGCTGCCACGCTTCTGTCTCATAGCTGTCTGTCGGTGCACTTGACAGCTACCGTGGAAACAGTGGCATGCAGCAAGCAGCGGGACTGCTGTCCCTTAGCGTGCTGTCGGTGCAACTGACTGCCAGCACGCCCACATTACGAACCAAAATCCTGCCAGCACATTTTGTGCCCAGCAAGAAATAGTTCATTGGCTGGCGACGCGCAACGATGGACGGCTCCCCAACCATGCATCGTTCCTCTCTCTTACTGTGCGACGCGTCACTTGCTCATCAAGAGCCTGGATTTTCGCTTAGTCTAGGTCATTTTGCCTCCATTCACCGTCCCCCGTGCTTGCATCAGCCTTCACTATGAGCTCCCCTCTGAGCTCCTCCTTGTTTCCACCTCTTCGACTGTTGTTACTGCCCCCGCTAGTTGCCATCATGGCATCGGATACTGCGGGCTCTAGTGCCCCGACCGAGAAGACTGCTGTGCCCTCACCCCCCACTACAGCTTCCGTGAAGCTCAGGGGCTTGGATTTCTTAGGATGTCGCCCCACCCAGCCACCCGCAGCAGTCCCCATTTCCCCCCTGCCTGCTGCCCCTGTACCGGACGTACCTGAGCCTAACAGCAATCCGTTCGACAGTCTGATGCCTGCAGTAGAAATCGAGCCATGGACTGCGAGCCTGTCACCGATTGCTTCCCCAGCGGCATCGCCGCCACGTGCGCAATCCCGTCCGACTGTGGTTGGCACTGCGTCCGCCACGATTCAGATCTCTGGCGGTCCTGTTCTGTCCGTTCGCTATCCATGCAACACGAAGTATAAGCAACGGAAGCTTTCATTCGGTCGTCCCCGCTCACCAGTGGCTTCTGCTGCTATCTCCTGTGACCCAGGGCCGAGCACGCCTGAAGCTGCCACCGGCCCCTCCGACCCTGGTCCGAGCACGCCTGGATCTGCCGCTGGCCCCTCCAACCATGGTCCAAGCACGCCTGCTGTTGACGAAGGACCATGGCCTTTGACGCTAGAAGAATTGCAGTTGAAGTGCAAGGAACAATGGCAGCGGCACTTCCCCTGGCTCTTCATTTCCGAGACGTCAGAAGGTCGCCCGTGCATGAAATGCAGTGTTTGCATGGCTTATGGAGACCCGAACTACCTGTACGGCCGTTACGGTGAGGGTGGTATCGACATCCAGAAACAACGATGAGGAAGCATGACCACAGCGGCAAGCACGAAGCGGCAATGGCAGCAAAGGCGCATCGGGATGGCAAAATGAAGAAGCAGAAGTCCATCACTGAGTTCGAAAATGGGAATGATGATGCACGGCGGCTGAAGCGTTTGATGGCTATTGTGCACTTCATCTGCAAGTCTGACGCACCTATCGTTCTTTTTGTCTCACTTGTACAGTTCATGGCCCAGCAGGGGACGCCAGACATGCCCTTGAAGGAGAACTGCACCTACTACTCAGAGTGAGTTTCTTTTTGAAGCCTTTGTTTATGCACAATATTTGTCGCCCATGTTTGGTGTGTGCACTCTCTAATGCTATGCTGTTGGCTTTTGGCAGGTACGGATTCCAACAGATGGTTGAGACCATGGTTGGGTACTTGAAGGCGAAGCAGCTCAAACACATTCGAGCAAGTCCCTTCCTCGGCATTCAACTCGATGAGAGCACCGATCGAAGACGTGGGAAGCACATGATTGTGTATCTCACGTTTCTGCGGGACGACGAAGTGGTGACGGAATTTTATGCCCACCTCACTGTAGAGAAGTGCGATGCCGCTTCCCTACAGGCCATCCTACTCATGCATCTTGAAGCCACCAGCATCGACCTGCAACGAATCTGCGGGATAAGCACTGACGGTGCTAGCGTGATGACCGGTGGGCAGACGGGTGTGGTTGCACGTCTGCGGGCACGCATACCTCACCTTGTGTCATGCCACTGCATCGCCCACAGGTGAGTGTTGTGTGAAGTCCTTGTCATGGACATTGATTACAAAACCCGTATACTAATACCTCCTCTTAATGCTGCAGGGAGGCACTTGCCGCAAAGGACATTGCAACGGCTTTCCCTGATCTTGTCATTGTCGACAAAGTAGTGCGCTCGCTTGCTGAAGTTCTAGGCCGCTCGATTGTGGTGCACACTCGCTTCAAGCAGCTGCAAGATGTCGTCAGCGACACCAACCTTGAATTGTAGGGCATACATAATATCAGGTAGTTGTCGAGAGGTGAGGCGATTGCGAGGTTAGCAGAGGTTTTTCCTTCTGCCATCATCCTGCTCTCTGAGTACGATCGTAAGGCTTACCACATGGTGACAAGTCTGAAATTCCAGTTCTTACTGTGTTTCCTTGCTGATGTGCTGAAGGAGCTTAATACCCTCAACCTGAAGTTCCAACGTCGACAGGTAAAAGTGACTACCTAGCTTTGCTACCTATTTTCATTTCTAACTTGCTTTCCTGTTTACCGGTCATCCCCGAATGTTGCAGGTGGATGTCACGCATGTGCTGCAGATGGTCGATAATACCATTCTCACCCTGCGGAGCCGCTATGTCAACTTCGGCGACACCTTCGGCCACGGCAACGACAACCTTGTCGCCTTCATCGCAAAGTTTACCGATCCCAAGTCTCGGTGGGTTCACGTAGAGGGTGTCAATGCTGAAGACACACCCACCACGCACTCCTGCGTCTTGCACGAGAAGTACATTCCCGGCCAAGTCAGCGGCGGGGACATGGAGTCCCTTAAGAAGCTCTGCACCGCCTTCGCGATTGCTCTCATCAACAACATCAAGGGGCGGCTGGAGGATCTTGCGACCTTAGACGGATCTAAACTCTTCAGGCAGAGGTCGTACCCAAAGAGCGCAGCAAAGTGGGAGCGGCGCCTGCTGCAGTGGTTGCACTCCCTGCGCCTGCTCTACAAGCGTGACGCGACAGCACCGGACACTCTGCCAAGTTTTGTTTTCCCCACCGCTAGCTCTACTTGCCCTTGTCTTTCAAACCGCACCGTACTCGCTGTACCAAATGTTGAACTCGTTGCCTTTGTCCCATTATAACCGTTTCATTTGCCTACCGTCACTGCAATCCCCATCAGGAATAAACTGGGCGAAGGCGGAGAAGGAGTTATGCAACTTCAGCATGATCATGCGCACGCATTAGGCTGACACGGGCTTCCTTGACAGCCTGAAGAATATGTTGGGCTCGCCGGACTGGCAAACTACCTACCCCAACCTGGTTCTGCTCTGGATTGCTGTTGCTGTGCTCCCTCTCAGCACCGTGGAGTGCGAGAGGGGCTTCAGCAGGCAGAATGTGATCAAGTCCTGGCTCCGGGGGAATCTCTGCGATGCAAAGCTGGCAGATCTGATGACAATATCCCTCCTGGAGTACGAGATGCATTGGGATGAGCTCGTGGGGAGGTGGCGCAAGGCGAAGAATCGGCGCCCTGCGAGGGCGGTAGTGATGGCTGCAGTCCCGTCCACCAATAAGCGACCAAGGTCGGAAGCAGTCAGGGCGGCAAAGGTAGCAGTAGCAGCAGCAGAAGCAGTAGCACGCCATGAAGCAGCAGTTTTGGAAGGTGAAGCTGCAAGAGCGGATGAGGAACCTGGCATGGCGTATTGGAGGAGGAAGGGGAAAAGCAAGATCCCGGAAGTCGAAGAAGAGGAGAGTGAGGAGGACGATAACCCTTTTGCCTTTGAGTCCGAATCTGAATATGACTCTTCTGAGTAGTGCAGAGGAGCAGACGTGGAAGCAGCAGCAGCAGCATCTGCAGAAGTACCAGCAGCTAGATTGGCAGCAGCAGTACCAGCAGCTTCATTGGCAGCAGCAGTACCAGCAGCAACAGTCCTGCTGCAGGTGGCGGCACTAGCAGAGCAGTATTTGTAGCGGCGCTAGCAGAGGAGTAAATGCAGTAACCATAGCTCTAGAAGCATCGGCAGTAGCCGGTCCTATGGCAGCACCAGCTTTTTTAGCCTTAGTGGCGGCGTGTCCTTAGGGAGCACTAGTACATTAATATTATTCTATCTGATTTGTTCTAGTAGCAGTAGATTGCTAACTGCATTAATTGTAATT